GCAGATATGAAACATGCTGATGGAATATATAATGTTGGACGTTGTTATGAAAACGGAATAGGAGTTGAAAAAGACACACAGAAAGCATTCGAATATTATCAAAAATCTGCAGATATGAAACATACTGATGGAATATATAATATTGGACGTTGTTATGAAAATGGAATAGGAGTCAAGAAAGATGTAAAGAAGGCATTCGAATATTATCAAAAATCTGCAGACATGAAACATACTGATGGAATATATAATGTTGGACGTTGTTATGAAGATGGAATAGGAGTCAAAAAAGCTGTAAAGAAGGCATTCAGATATTATCAAAAATATGCAGATATAGGACATGTTTATGTAATATATAATATTGGACGCTATTATGAAAATGGACTAGGAGTTGAAAAAGATATAAATAAGGCATTCGAATATTATCAAAAATCTGCAGATATAGGACATGCTGATGGAATATATAATGTTGGACGTTGTTACGAAAATGGAATAGGAGTTGAAAAAGACACACAGAAAGCATTCGAATATTATCAAAAATCTGCAAATGTGGGATATATAAATGGAATACATAATGTTGTGCGTTGCTATCAGTACGGAATAGGTGTTGAAAAAGATAAAGAAGAGGCGTTTGAATATTATCAAAAATCTGCATATATGGGATATGTTGATGGGTCATATAATCTTGGACGTTGTTATGAAAATGGAATAGGAGTCAAAATAGATGTAAAGAAGGCATTCGAATATTATAAAAAATCTGCAGACATGGAACATGCTGATGGAATATATAATATTGGACGTTGTTATGAAAATGGAATAGGAATTGAAAATGATATAATGAAGGCATACGATTATTATCAAAAATCTGCAGATATGAGACATGTTGATGGAATATATAATCTTGGACGTTGTTATCAATACCAAATAGGAGTTGAAAAAGATATAGAGAAAGCATTCGAATATTTTCAAAAATCTGCAGACATGAGACATGTTGATGGAATATATAATGTTGGATGTTGTTATGAAAATGGAGTAGGAGTCAAAAAAGATGTAAACAAGGCATTCAAATATTATCAAAAATCTGCTGACATGGGTAATTCTAGTGGAATATACAAGCTTGGATATTGTTGCGAAAACGGAATTGGAGTTGAAAAGGATGAACATGTGGCATTCAGTTATTATCAAAAATCAGTTGATATGGGTAATTCGGATGGAATGAACAGTCTTGGATATTGTTATAGAAATGGAATTGGAGTTAAAAAGGATGAATATAAGGCATTCAATTATTACCAAAAATCTGCTGAAATGGATGATTCTAACGGAATAAATAATCTTGGATATTGTTACGAAAACGGAATTGGAGTTGAAAAGGATGAACATAAGGCATTCATTTATTATCAAAAATCTGCTGATATGGATGATTCTAATGGGATAGACAGACTTGGAGATTGTTATAAAAACGGAATTGGAATTAAAAAAGATGATCATAAGGCATTCATTTATTATCAAAAATCTGCCGGTATGGGCAATTCTAACGGAATATATAATCTTGGATATTGTTATGAAAAAGGAATTGGAGTTAAAAAGGATAAACACAAGGCATTTGTTTATTATCAAAAATCTGCTGATTTGGGTAATGTTAGTGGAATATATAGCGTTGGTTATTGCTATCAAAGTGGAATTGGAATTGAAATGGATAAACGTAAGGCAATTATTTTTTATAAAAAATCTGCCGATATGGGTGATGCAAATGCAATATTTCAACTTGGATATTGCTATCGATATGGAATTGGAGTTGTGATTGACAATCATAAAGCATTTGATTATTTTCAAAAATCTGCTAACATGGAGCATGCTTCTTCAATGAATTTTCTTGGACGTTGCTATCGAAATGGAATTGGAACTACAAGAGATTTAAAGAAAGCCAATTTGTGGTATCAAAAGTAATATTGTGATTTTTATTTTTTTTATATACAAATGCATTTTTTTACAATGTATTCACTTAAATACTATTATTAGAGAAAAAACGAAATTATTGGGTAATTTATTCTATTGTACAATTTTTTAATTTTCAAGTTTTAAAATTAACCAAATTTTTAGCTACAAATCAAAGGCCACACGATGACATTGATAATGGTTTAAAAAAATTTTTTAATGAAAATATGAGTTTATCATGGATTCCTTATAATGAATTCGGAGATATTAAAAAGATAGGACAAGGAGGATTTGCAACAGTATATAAAGCTGCATGGTTAGATCCAAATTATAACCTAAATACAAAAGTAGCGCTTAAATTACTTCACAAGTCAGAAGATTTTCACGAAGAGGTAATTGAAATCATTTTGTTTTTTTTTAGAATAACTTGTTCTTAATATATACAGTATTTAATATTAATTTTTCTATTACAGTTAAAGGCATATTGTGATATTAATTACGAGAATCCATCATTTTTACAATGCCATGGAATATCAAAAGATTATTCTGGAAATTATATTCTAGTTTTAAAACTTGCAGAATTAGGATCTTTGCGTGAAAACCTTCGCAAATTATTAGAGATGAAATGGGTAGATAAGTTAAATTTACTGCATTGTATTGCATCAGATCTTCAGATAATTCATTCACAAAAAATTATTCACCGAGATTTACATAGCGGTAATATTTTGCAAGACACTTTGCATAGTGCATATATTGCAGATTTAGGACTTTCTATATCATCTGATATAGCGCTAAAAACAGAATCTGTTGGAGTTTGTGGAGTTTTACCATACATAGCACCAGAAGTTTTAATAACAGGAAGATATACAACATCATCGGATATTTATTCATTTGGTATAATTATGTGGGAAATCTTGTATGGAAAATTAGCATATTATGATCAAAAATTTGGAACAGAACTTCAAATAAAAATATGTTATAAAGACTTACGACCGACAATTTTGGAATATACACCACAATGTTATATAAATTTAATGAAAGAATGCTGGGAAAGAGAACCAGAAAACCGACCATCAGCAGAAAAGCTCTGCGAAATTTTTACCAAATGGCAAAATGATGAATATATTCTACATGAATTATCTAAATCTAAAGAAATTAAAAGTGATTATATGCAAGCGTATTCCGAAACGGATTATAGAAGTCCCGAAACGAATTATAGAAGTAAACTGATTCCTTATACATCATTTTATCGAGGTAAATAATTTATTTTTTATTTATCCAAGATCGTTTCAGCTCACTTCACCGACACTCCTTTAGTAGACATAACTTCTAATCGACAACAATTCACCGATATATTTATTTCACTGGTCATTGTCGTTAAGGGCAGGTTGAAATTAGAATTAATGTTAGTGGAATTTATAAAAAAAAGCTTGTGTGTGAAATGAGCTTCGGTGAAATAAACTGTCGGTGAAATAATTGTCAGTAAAATGTTATGTCAACGAAATGAGTGTCGGTGAAGTGATACGTCTCCATTTAAGATTGCCATTTCGTAATTGTTTAATAAATTTATCTATAGATAGCGGACTGAGTAAAGAAACAATTCCGACGGGCAGCCTACCGGAAAGAAAATAACTTGAAATAGACAAAATTATTTTACTTGAGTATAAGAATTATAAATATTTCCAATCGTTTATTATTAGAATGCATACATTTTAATTAGAACTTGAATTTTCCCAATTCAGTAATTCTGTTTATTCGCATAAATTTAGCGTTAGCTCAAATTTGTTATGTTATCTTTATTTTTTTTTTAGCTTTTTTTGTGCCGGATTTCTCTATATACCAAAGGCTTAAAATTAAAATTTTATATTAGTTTACACTGAATACGCTGAATTTATTAACCGTTATATAATTTATGTGGTTAATTAAACATATTATCACATATTATATCATGTAATAAAAGGTTCTTTGATTTTAACTAATCAAAAATTAAAATTATCGAAATAGTTTAATAATTCCAATTAACTATTTTCAATTTACTATAAACTGTTTATGTAACAATTACATATAGATACAGGTATACAGAACAGTCAATCAGAATGCAAGATCTGGTGTACCATAAAATTATCTCTTTCTTTAAAAATTGTTTATAAGATATCTATTAAGAAACCATATTTCAGGTTCCTAGCAAAATTTGGTATAAGCCATTGTCTTACCCTAACTGTAAACCTATCTTACCCTAACCTTAAGCGAGGTTTACTTTACTGTATTTTCTAATAAAATTATTGTTACGTGGTTTGTAAATCGAATCAAGTGTACATATACACTACGTGTGAACCAAGAAAAGGTTCTTTTTACAAACTAGTTATATGATTGAAGTTACACCTGTCTGACAAGATGATCTCTAATTTCAGTCAAGTATCGGTATGGGCGGGATTTGATGATTTCGGAGCAAATGATTGGTTGACATGTGCCACGTAGTGGCCCGTTTCAGCCAATTATTTGCCCCAACAGAACAAATTTTGTGATATTTATCATCGCCTGGTTGGCTAACTGAGTTTCAATTTGGGATTGTTGTACTTACGTAATAACGTACAAAAATAACAAGTTAAAATCTGTGAGCTTGCACGATAATTTGAGTTATTCTCAATTCACTAGAAACTATTCGCTATTTTAATGCTAAAAATATTTATAATAACACATACATGAAATATAAACATTATACTGTTGTAAATAGCTATGCATTTTCGATCAAATTTGAATTAAATATTAATACCTTCAGGTATCCATGTATTCAATCTTATTTTGGATTTCTCTTTTAACATTTATTAGTAATATTATAAATTTGCATTAAATATATTTTCTAGCCAACAAGAAATTTATACTGTATATAACATATCGATAGTGTTTTTGCAAATGCATCTTCCAACACTTTTTCTATATATACGAATATTGAACTAATCCACACAAAAGGCTTCTAATCTCTTCTCTTTGCTTTTCAGTTATTTCTGTAGATTCTATTTTAAATTGAAATCCTGTTTTCATTCTAAAGCCTAGTATAAATGTATAAATAACATATTTTTCAGCAATATTCATTGGATTACCAAATTCAAGTATTTCGGCCAGATTCTTTTCTTTATCCTCTCCGAGATGAAGGTTGTCATAAGAGCTCGTGCTTGTATTAGTTCCTTCATTCGGGAGAAACTTAGTGATTATATAAACCAAAAAGGTTGCAGATGTATAAGGCACGTAAAGTAAAAATAAATAAACTATAAGAATATAGGAATAAAAATTAAGACGGTTTTTAAATTCTCTTATTCCACTTCTTATTAATTCTATTGTTCTGTATTTATTCCTTCTACTTTTCTTATTTCCATAAATTCTTACTTTATATTCATTCACAATATCATCATTTCCAAAGAAACTTACTTTACCATAATCATCTAGAGAAAATTTCTTATCATCAATTAAATATAATCTTTTCGAAAAAATGTAATAATATGTCAAAATTGTTATAACTACTTCTATTGTAGGTTTTAAAAATATAAATTTCATAGTATAAATAATCATCTTTATGTGATCAGAAGAGTTAAAAAGTTTTATGTGATCAGGGGATGTAGGAGGTTCTATAGTATAATTCAACATTTTCTCAACTGTTCGTTCAAAGAAAGATAATGTTACATTATATAACCATAAGCAACCAATAATGATAATACTTATAGCTAATATAAAATCAATATGTACAGAATTAATATATAGGATTATAATATTACTATTAATTAAAATCGAGATAACAGAAGTAATAATAACGTATAAAGATAATATAGCAATTACTACTACACCATTTCTCTTTTCAGCGTTAATAAGATATTTGATACGATCTAAAAACTTTAAATAATCTTTGCACCTGCTAACTAGCTCTTCATTTATGAGTTCATCAGGTATTTGTAACAACGCAGGCATGAATACTTTTTCAGATGGAAGTGGAATCTTTTTAGCAACTCCAACCAACGAAGTAACAGTATCCTTATTTCGTTTCCACTCTTGGCCAAGAATATTTAAAAGAGCCAAAACTCCACTACTAGCAAGAACACTTGATGTTATAATATGAACCGTTTCACTGATATTTTTTTTCCAAAAAATATAAAGCAATGCTATTCCAAACAAAATAACAAATGATGACACTACGAAATTTATTAAATTTAAAGTATTTCTTCTTTTTAAAAGTATTTCAATTTCCTCCCATCTTTCTTTCAGCAACATAATTGTGTACTTATCGCCTTGTTTATCTTTTTGACTCTTTGTTGCGGGGTTGGTTGGTTCATTATTTTGTTGTGGGTTTGATTCATTATTTTGTTGTGGGTTTGATTCATTAATTTCTTGGTCTCCGTTCATGTCCATTTTGAAGATTATAATAACGAAATTTAGTAAGTTTAAAATTTGTTAAGTTTAATTTGATATTTAATATTATACAAGAATTAAAAACTTTCATCATTTTTATAAAGTCAGAATATGTATTACGTAGATAAATGATGTGCACGTCTCAATGATGCCGTAGTAACTATCTCTGTGTAATAATTATAATAAGTCACAGCATTTTTGCCGCAACTTTATTATGTTATGACAATTCACCTGACCTGTACCTCTAATATGTACTTATGGTACAAAACTACAATCATTCCTTATAGAAACAAGTGACATTTAGTGTGCATGTGAATACTTTATTGAGATCGATAAATTAAGAAATGTGAATCCTTTATGCATCGAGTAGAAGATTTAAAAATACCATCTCTTTAATGTAATGCAATCATGTAGCATATTGAAATCAAATATTTCCTAAATTATAAAGTGTGAACGTAAATACTTTATTTAAGTGAATAATTTAAAAACATTTTTGATTACAATGTGGGTGTTTTTTGGATTTCTTTGCACAAGTACGTCGTGCTTGACATTAGAAGCTAATATTACTTACTAAACCATGTAAAAAAATCCAATTAGCGTTAATTTCAATCAAATACAACTTCAATTACTGATCTACATAAAAAATCTACATCTACGTATAAATTTGATTTTACGTAATAGTTGAACTCACCTTACAATAACACACCATAACGGTCAAATCAAATAACGACTATTAAGGCTTTATTTAAATCTTGTTTGCAGGTGCCTCATATTATTCGAATGCATGCTTATTACTATGCTTAAAGTTAATCTAATTCTGTAATTGGGCGTTATCATATTGCATTCCTTTGAGCAGTGCAGTGTTGTGCATTTTGGTTCTTGATTTTGCCCCCCTCCATCATGCATATGATTGACTTATGTAGTTAATTATCCGGTAACTTTAAAGTACATTTTAGGATAAAATGTTTCAATATTAAAAATCAATTTCTAATTTGAAGGAACGCTTATAAGAGATGGGCATTCTGCATTATGTGCATTACATTATGCAAACATAAAGTCACATAATGTAATGTTGACATTTTAAAATTTAAAAATGTACATAGAAATTATTATATGGTTTTGATGTAACAAAAATCAATAAAATATTATGTAGCATTAGTTAGTAATTTTCTATCTGTATAATGCAGATCAATTATTATGAGGTTTGAAAATATTATGAAACAGTAAACTTCTCTCTAGAGATAGGAATCTTGCTTCTTGATTTTGATGGGACACCATAAATGCATGTCACATGTGACATTATGCAATGCAGAGCCAAAAAAATATGCATTCGCACATCTCTACTTAGTGTGCAAAAAAATCAACATCCTGATCATCTCTGATACCTTCATTTAGAAGCATATAATCTACTATTAATTATATAGTTAATTCTTAAGCAGTTGTAATCGTGGTTTGGGTTAACTTTACGTCCAATTGGTATTTTTTTCATTAATCAGGACTGTGGATCATGGCGTACGTATCTCTAGCAAAGGTTGTGATGATTAAAAATAAATATAAAATTTTTTAGTTAATAATTAAAAGTTCTCAAATCCTTTCTCATTTTCATTTTTGGCCCAATTAATAAAGAATTAATACCATAAGATATCAGCAATCCTTTCGGTTATTTTAATGCACTTAAGGATTACTAATACGTACGTAGTAACATTTAGTTGGGAGTATGCATATTGACATACATAATGTGTTGAAATACCCTTTTTTATATTCTGTAGCTTGCTCTTCAATACAATTGTCCAAAGAGAATAAAGAGTAAAATAGCGTAATACTATACCATAATATCTAACTTTCCTCAAGTCTTTATCAGAATAAATATCATTCAATAAACGAATCGTGTACTAAATTTGTTTTATTCTGATCAGTGTAGCGCAAAATTCTAAATTTTTTAAATTCCATGTAAGGTTTGGATCGGTTCATAGAACCAGCTTGAGCCGAGCCAGCCAGCTCATGTAATATATGACAATCAGAAATTATCACGTGAAAAATTCGATTTTGGAACATAAATTCGATTTTGGAACATAAATTCGATTTTGTCATATGTCACGTTAGCCATCTCAAGCTGATCGCCTCTTATAAGTTTTTGTCAACATTATACTGTTATAAGTATACGTATAATAAATCATGCAAATTACACATCACTAGGTGCACCAGTTATTAGTGTCAAATAGAGTTCTAGATTGCATCACGAAGCTCTAATTTGTGATCACGAGATTAAACTACTGATTCTCACACGAATTTGAGTAATCAGGAGCAGGGAGGGAATTGGAAAGAAATACATTATGTGAGTAATAATTAAATTCTATAGAGTCCTTCCCAAAAATTGACTGAACTAAGCTGAGCTTAGCTGAGATGCTTTATTGGAGAGACAAAAGACATCGTATTTATAGTTTTTACATTGCTACGGCACAAATCAAACTAATTCACTAAACAACTAAATCTACTTGTTTTCTAGATTCGAAAAATCAGATAAATCAAATAATCAAATTTATTTGATTTATCAGATTTTGTTGACCTTCGAAATGGATGGAACATGTAACTATATTAATTTTGGTTAAACTCGACCCGAGCCACCTCAACATCAATTTCTAAATGCGCAAATCCACCTGTTAAATATACATCCGACTCTATTATATGCAAAAAAAATTTATCTCAAGCCAAAATCCATCCTTTCACAACATACGTACGTGTTAGAATTAGAGATGGGACACTGCGCAGGCGGAATTTTACGGAAGCCCGGAATTATTCGTAATGTCGCAGAATCTAACAATTTTGGCCCGCATTAGCCGTAATGCAGGCCCGTGCAGGCTGCGCAGTAGATTCGAATAATCCTCGATTTTCCCATCTTTAGTCAGAATAAACAGAAATATGTGATGTGCAAATATTTGGAAAATTAATTTTTATGCTATAAATTTTATAACAAATGCAAACTTTGAATAGCTATACTGCAAAATTTTATTAATTCAACAATTATAAATCTTAAGTAAAAAATAATTTTAACATTATTTTAAATTGATTTATGTAAAAAATTTATTTTGAAAAAATTGTCATTTTCATCCCTTTTTACAGCACCTAGCCCATTTGGTTACGTTTTATGTATATCATATATGCACATGTATACCAGAATAGATTAGTTGTGCAACCAAAATTCTGTTGAATTTTTCAATTTCAGTCTGAATCACTAAGCACTGGCATCGGACATATCGGCAGATCAGATTTGGCTGCGCGATTAACCACATTTGTGCACATATAATATATATATAACATTTGGGTGTTCAATGTTCTATGTAAATCAAATATATATAGTCTCCAGGGTTGGTCAAATTTTTGGTCAATCAAAAATTTGTTGGTCAATGGTCAAAGAGTTTCTGGTCAAACTGGTTTAGTCAAATTGGTCAAATAATTTGTTCAATCAGGTTAATGTATTTAATTATATAAATTTTTATTAAGTAATTTGGTTATTATATAAAAATATTTATATAATTAGTAATTTTGGTAGATTTATTTGTAATTGTTTATAACAATTAATTAATTAAAATATAATTTGATTAATACTACAATATTAGAAATTAAAAAACTTTATATAAAAATTTACAAACTAATAAATATATACAAAAAACATATATTTTTTTTAATATTAAAGGCAAGGTTATGCTTTTAACTTTATTGAAATTCAATTGAAGTTTTTAAAAAGAAAAGCTTGCTTTTAAATTACATATGAAGAATAAAGACTCAGACATATAATCTGCACCCTAAACTTACAAAAGTAGTCAAGATTTATTTGAATTTAGGTTTAAATAATAATATAAAAGAGAAAGGTATAGAATTGTATAGAATTTAATCTATTAAATAGTTCAAAATCAATTTTAGTAATAATCTGTGGTATTAAAATAGGATATAAAGGTAAGCTAGAAGAAAAACTATAGAAAAAGTTAATAGAAAAAATAATTTGAAATTGTGTAAAATGTGAGATTTAGCATAAAATTTATATTTGTTTATATATTCGTTAGTTTAAATAAGAAAAAATTTAATAAAAAGAAAAATAGTAATATAATAAAGAGTAAAAATATTGGCTAAACTATAGTTTAGCATGTACTAATGCATGCAATTGTCACAATGTGATATCATCAGATTGGTAATATGCTGTAGAACATAGTGCTTCGATAAATGCTTCCAAAAGTCTGTTTTTGTTTACTTAGCACCAAATAAATTCAAATAAATTTGATTCAATCAAGTTTTTATTTTGATTTCATGGTACAATCTGTAACTTGATGCCATTCCACAATCCTTCTATGGTATTTGTATGTGCACCTGTTTTGGGATCCACAAAATTTTCTAAATAGTTAACTGTTTTATGTTTGAATCCTAGTTCATCGATATTCAAATAACCTTTCCAACAATCTGTATAAACAATAGATCCTTTTTCAACATATTTATCTAAGATATCTTTAATTGTTTCTTCATTATGTTTTTGTACTTTTATCAGAAAGCATCATTTTTGTTCTGTTCTTTCAATACCATCAATAATCTATACACCATCAATAATCTATATATCATCAATAACTCTATTACAATGATATTTTCTTTTTCCAAATTTAGATTTATCAATCTCAACAATAATTTCTTTACTACCTATCTTGTCTTCATAATCTTTTAAAGTATCAATAACTAATTCTCGATAGAATTTCATATAATTAGTTATTGTATTTGGTGAATGGCCTGTCATTTTTCAATTGAATAATAATTGCATTTAGATAACCAAAAATAACCAATCATCATTGTAAGATTGCATTTCACATATCCTTTTGAAAAGAAGGATCTTTGAATATCGAAACTGATTTTTTGTATTTTTTATTTACACAAATAAATCTTTTTTTATCTCTAGACATGTTTGCTTTACATATTTTACATTCTTTAGATTTATACAAAATATTATTATTAAATAAAAA